TTGATATTCTGACTGGCGTACAAGTCCGATTCGACAGTCGAGCGCCGAACAGCACTCCTACGCCGACTCAGGAGAAGGACATCATCACTGAATCTCCCGCCAGTCATGCGCCATCGTTGCCAGATACTCGGGTTGCTGTGAGCGCCGTCTTGCACGAGACTGGTCGTAATCTCTCCGAGGGCCCGGCTGTTGTGAACCCTGAGACAGGAGTCGAAGACCTTCTACCGCCAATACCGACGCCTACTAAACGTCGAAGAACCGAGCCTGCGCCGCAAGATGGTGGACACTTCTTTCCTGCTTCACCAGCTGGGTCAGGAGCATCGGGGGCCTCTCCCTGGTCAAATGCAGCTGTATCAACTGGGAGAGTGCGATTGAGAGAAGATGAAGTATCAATACACAGTCCTCATGCCGTACCTCAAAGCGTCGACCACTTTTCTCCTTCCGCCGGGAGTTATCACACCACGAACCAGGACCATGACCTCGTCGGGAATATATCAAATTTTCAACCATCCGAAGGCATCCAAGAAGCTTGCCTACTACGGTACTTTGTAGAAGAGCTGTCTCAATGGGTTACGTGCCACACAGTTACAAGAGTACACAAGAAAGTACAATCGTTAACCTTTTCTCGCGTGTAGTTTGACCTCTGCGACGAAGAGAGGTACTTCCAGCTGGTCGTTGTGAGACGCGCACGCTCGTGCCAGCCCCTTCGCGACGCCATCTTCGCCGTCGCGGCGCGCCATCTATGTCGACATCCTAAGTTCCGGTCAGAGTCAGGGGGCGGCGGCGTCATCGTCTACCAGCGCCAGCTTCTCCCTGATCTGACGCCGCAAAGTGCCTTCGAGTATATGCTCCGCTGCATACCTGCTCTGCACGAGGTCTCAAGCACGCAGGACGAGGAATACCGCGAGAACCTTGCCGCCGCAGCGCTCATTCTTCGTCAGTTTGAGGAGATGGATCCCGAAGAATCCCAGAGCGCGCCGAGCTCAGATTTTGGGATCGCAAACGGGGACGGAAACGGGACGAGTACTGGCCATGTGAATAACAATGCCAACTTTATCGACATTACAAAAGCAATTTTGAGGGCCGCTCCACCATCGCAATGGTCTGGGCTTTTGAGCGCCGTGTACTGGGTAGCAGTGAGGCAGGAGATTTACTTTGCGCTTACACTAGAGCGATCACCACAGATTACGGCAAGGCCGGACCAGGGCCGTGAAGTGTCGTTTGCTAATCGGTTGATTTGGTTCATGTCGGAGGTGGCCAAGTGGAAGATGGGAGACAGGATCGAAGGGGAATGGGGTGAGTCTTTCACTTATGCTTCTATGGGAGACCCCAAAACGTCTAGAACGGAGCTCTACTCAATTACAATGACTGACGTATGCCATTCAGAGCGATTGAGGGTCGAAGAGGGTGTCCTTGCAGTTGAATGTACGCGGCAATTTATACCTATAATGCAGAGGCCAGCGGACAGGTCTCAAGGCGAGATATTTCCCTTGGTCTGGTACGGTTCCGATGTGGAAGTTACTGCGCTACAGCATTTCATCTTGGCAAGGATGATTCTCCTAGCCGAAGATCCTAGCCTACAGTATGCAGACGCTCCCCTACCTCCCAAAGTAGATAGCTGCACTACGCCTCTATGACTCCTTCATGATTTTTGAGGATCATGCTGACAAATTTGGGCTTCCAGAGGACAAGTCTCCAACAGGCGAGCACATCGAGAAGCCGAACATCAAGTCCGAGAAATGACATTAGAGCTGTGTGGCCTAGCTATGCATCATCTAAGAGCACCGCCAAACTTGACCACTGCAGGGATAGGGATCATGTTATACGGGGACTATTTCAACGACCAGTGGGAGAGAGCGGCATTGGTTGGAGTGCTGGAAGAGTGGAAGAACCATCACGCTTGGCCTGTGAGAAAGGGGTACCAAGCACTCGGTGCGGACTATGTCCCTTGAATGTTACATTCAAGAAACCTCTGTACATGTATCGTACACAGAGACAGTGACTGCATGGGTCAACTGACTCTATGATATCTATGTCGAACGAGTGAACTATAAGCTGAATTCGGCGTCCTACTTGTCTCATAGGTAGTTTAGCTGCATGAAAGCATCTAGTCCAAGGTTGAATTTTACGTTGGATTGGTACTCCCGCGCCATTGTTGTCCAAAGACGGGCGAGACTTTCTCTAGCTGCCGTGAACAACATGGACAGTCCGTATTGATCAGATAGAATTCGAACATGGAGCCAGTCATGGCCCAGGCTCTCAATGTCAGTGATCTTCACCTAGCGCATTTGTCAAGTTGCGGATCAAGCCAAGACAATAGTTTGAGGGCAATAAGGACTGGCTACATCAATCACTCGACCGGGTAAGCCCGAAAGATCTGCAATGCGCTGTTAGATTCAAACATCTGTTGAGGTACATAAGGTAAGCGACTTCCACAGGGATTTACCGATCGATGTGTTGTCGGTGTTTGTTGCCTGACCGAAGGAAACTTGTCGGAAACCAATTGCGCTGCATTGTCCCAAAACCTCGGCTCAAGAGTCTTGTTACCCCGGTCCGGACCTACCTACTTCTGTGGTGTGACGGGCATCGCATGATCCCAAGGGCGGCATCGCGAGGTTACGCCATTTGCGGATCTGATTGCCAATTGGGCCCAAAGAGACATGTTTAAACGAATTTCTACCAAATTTCTTCACAAAACCTTAGGCCTTGGAAGCTGCAGTTCAGGAACCCAAACTGCCAGTTGCACGTGTACTCTATACTTGTGAAGTCTACCAATTTTGCTGATCCCCGGCCGGATCCGAAGAAGAGCCAACCTCATTGGCGCGCGTCTTTAAGCTTCGGCAATCACCCATAAACATAGCTGGGATATCCCCACACAAAACCCCAGATCTCAACGGCAATGAACTAAGACGCGGGGAATGTAACACTGCCCTCGGCGAGCTTTCGACCGATGTGACGGCCTTTCTATGAGGTCACATTGCTGTCTGTGAAAACAAAACACACCATACGCGCCAATGATCACGGTGTCGGACCTGCATGTGCTGTCAGCTAACCCCAACGCGGCCACTCTACCGTCTTGGGGGTGGGTTCCCATCACTCGTTTACGAGTCACGAAATCAAGAAAAGCTTTCTTCCGAGCTTGCGAAGCTATTGATGATGATCAGGTTGACATTGTCTTGGCGTTGACATCGTATCCCCTCTCTCGAAGCTCAATGGCGGCGGCGTATATAACATACCCCGCTGCTCGAGCAATGCCGGCCTTTGTTCTCCTTCAAGGCACCTGACTCTCTCGCCGTGGGCCTCATCATCTCTCCAACTTTCCACGAGACTAGTGTTCGGAAAATCACACCATGAAGTTCCTCGGAGCCGCTGTCGCTGGCATTGCCAGTCTGCTCTCCTACCAAGCTGTCGCGAGCCCCGTCCCGACCCCAGTCGAGGCCCGTCAAGCTACTGGAACCATCTCGAACAATGTTATCTTCTCTCCGCCGTCAAACGCTGGCTGGGTCGACCCCCGCGTCCTGTACGCCCGCACCATTCAGCTGGACTCGGGCGACCTGATCGCCACCTGGGAGAACTACTCCCCCGAGCCTCCCATCGTCTACTTCCCCGTCTACCGCTCGCAAGACGGCGGAGCCACCTGGGCTGAGATCGGCCGTGTGCAAGACACCGTCAACGGCTGGGGTCTGCGCTACCAGCCCTTCCTCTACGAGCTCCCGGAGGCTTTCGCTGGCTATCCCGCCGGCACTATCTTGCTCGCTGGTAACAGCATCCCAACGGATCTGAGCTTGACCAAAATCGATGTCTACGTCAGCACTGATGGCGGTGCCAACTGGGAGTTCCTCAGCAGTGTCGCCAGCGGAGGCGAGGCCCTGCCTAACAACGGCCTGACTCCCGTGTGGGAGCCTCACTTCTTGTAAGTCTATTTTCCGCTTTCCGGAAATAACTTGTGATCTTTGCTGACCGATTCTTCTCTACGCAGGCTCCACAACGGCGAGCTCATCATTTACTACGCTGACCAGCGCGACACGAAGTACGGCCAGAAGCTGTCCCACCAGACCACCACCGACCTCAAGACCTGGAGCGCCATCGTCGACGATGTCCACGATGACAACGCCTACGAGGCTCGTCCCGGTATGCCCGTCATCGCCAAGCTGCCCAACGATGACTTCATCTTCGCCTACGAGGTCTGCGGTACCGATGGCTGCCGCGTGCACTACCGCCTCACGGCCGACCCGCTCAACATCCTTGCCGCCCCCAGCATCTCGCTTATCTCCACCTCCGGCACCCGACCCGTCAGCTCCCCGTACGTCGTCTGGTCCCCCGTTGGTGGTGTCAATGGTACCATCGTGCTTAGCGGCGGCAGCCAGTCAAACATCTTTGTCAACCGGGCTCTGGGTGATGCTAGCGCGTGGGTTGAGTATGCTGTTCCCCAGCCTAATGCTTACTCCCGCGCCCTCGCGGTGCTTGATGATGGTAGCAAGTTGGCTATCATTGGTGGTGGAAGATTGCCTCCAAGCAGCACGAATCAGGTCAGCATCAGTGTTGTTAACCTGAACACTCTGCTTGGATTGTAGGTAGTGGCCATGGAAATATCCAAGCCGTCATTTGTAGGCAGTGTAATACTGGAAATGAAGATTTCGTCAATTGCAGAATAATCCAAGGTGGCTGAGCGTGCTCGGGTATACGTGCCTTACCTCAGTTATGATATGCGATGAGTGAGTAATGTATGGGGTCATTGGCCATATGCACAAGTATTAGAGTGGCACGGTGGCAGCCTGAGACTACCTAAGTAGGCAGGCTTATTTCGAAACCTGAGCGGCCGGTGAGATTGAGCAAGCGGGAATCATCGCCCAATGGCGCTTTTGGGGTATGAGCAACCACGTCAGGTTCTGCCAATCATAGCTGCATGAAGAGCATGAGTCTGACCAGAGTTGGGCTATAGAGAGGGACCATTGACCTTTGCGGGCGTCTCAAAACGCCAGACACTCCCAACCACTCTGGTCTCTTTCGGAGCCTGATTCTTCTCTTTTCTTTCCCACGCCAAAGCAGTTCGTTTCACCCATTTCTACATTTCTATAGTAGCGAGGCGATCGCGTATCGAAGCTCTTGTATTCACAGCATGTCTGTCGGCTTTACCTTCGGTAGTCTTGGCGACATTCTCCAGCTATGCCAAATTGGCATTGCGGTCGGCAAAGCTCTGAACGAGAGCCGAGGCAGTGCACGAGATTACCAAAACCTTCGAAACGACCTTGATCAGTTTGTACACGTTTTGCAGAATGTAAAGGGAGAAAACACACTGGATTTGGCTTCCAAACTGGTCAAAGGCACTTACTGACGCGAAAGTTCTTGGACTGATGAATGTGCTTCCACCTAGGTCATTGCCATATACCAAGAACGCGAGCACTCCGATTTACTTTCAGATATCAACCCGCTGATCAAGTCAGTCACAAACGAATGTATGACAGATCTGCAAGATGCGTTGGATTATTTCCAATCCAAGTATGCATTGTCACTTGGGAACCCGCACCGCCATTTAAACACAAAGTCGATCGGGAAAAAGATAGAATATAGATTTCGAGAGAAAGAACGACTAGAGGTGCTACAACAGAAGCTATCTCGGTACACACAACTGTTTTCTGTTCTTCTAGCCATACATACTAAGTAAAGCTTGATTCCCTCCTCTACCTTACTCCTGAGTACAAGACCGATGTGCTGACTGCTGACTCGCCTTGACGTTCTTTAGGAAAGCAGCTCACGTCGATAATGCAACTATGCAAACCCGAATTCAGGAAGTTGTTTCACAAATGGATGTAATATCACTCGACATCAACCGACAGGGCACACAGATCTCAGAACAGCATACCAGCATAGAAGTTTTGGCAACCAAAGTGGATGCTGCGAATGGCTACCTTATAAGACAAGGAGACGCAAAAAACACTCTGACGGAGATGACAAAAAAGAACGAACTGTGTATAAAAGAGCTTGCGAGCATGATAGAGTCCAAAGTCCACCTTCTAGTCCAGGAGCGTGAAGACGAAACCTGTCATAGGTTCTTCAGTGGGCCTGGGTCGAATACACAAAGACCTTTGTTCTTCGAAGACGCCCTGGGCGTCGTGTTGACTTTGCCGATTGAATGGTTAGAATCTTGGAAGGTAAGTCTCACTCAAACATCAAAAGACGAAATTGACCACCAAAGCACCTACGGTCCCTTATTAGCAACCGCTTTGAAAACAGGATGGGTCACCGGAAAGTCCTCCGCGGCGAGTACGCGTTGGAAGACGAGGCCAACGGGGCTGAAGTCACGTTGTTACCTTGGAACAAAGCAATACGACCTGGGAGGAAGATCAACATGGCGATGAAGTTTCAGAGAGTTGAAGAGGTTAGCAAGGCAGAAGATCACGTCTACATCTGTCCAGGATGTAAAGCGGTCAGATCAGATATTCAGGACGACCAGATCAACCTCAAGTGGTAAATATCTCTTTCGGATAAGAGAGTTTCAGAGAGCTAAGCGTGACCAGCGCGACACCCAGCTGCGGCATGTGGATGAGATCGTCACGAACGAGGCTTGAGGGCAATCCTCAACAAGTGGCAGAAAATGACACTTCACTAACTGCTGACGAAGACAGCATGGAAGAAGATGATGATCCACGTCATTTCCACCGAGTTCTGTTCAATATCTTCGTCCTATCATCTCCCCTACCGAAAGAAAACGCTTCCCCGACAAGGATTGCCGATTTGGAGGAGTGTGATCCATCGGATGAGAACTCTTGCGAGGGGAAAGAGAGTCATATTTCGAAGGCAAATTCTTCTCATCTCTCTCGAAGAGTTCACTCATCACATGAGACAGATCGACACGTAAAGAAGAGCACTTCATCGAGGAGGCAGGTTTCGTCACGCATACTCAGACGCCCAAAAGCCGAGTACCGCTGTGGATGGACCTGTGTAAGTTCCCCGATATTGAACCAATTAGCTTCTTGACTAAAAGTAACGGTGTAAAGTGCTGTTGTTACTGGTCTGGGATAAGCATGAGCGAATGTAGTTGCTTGTACTGCCAACATATGATATGCTTAAACTGTCGTGTTGCGACAGTATCGGTAAAGGAGGAGCAAAGGAAGGTTTGATATACTACTTTATTTATTAATCCAGTGGATCAATCGAAATGGCGGAAGGCAAACATTTCACCCGATAATTCTTCTAGGCGCGACAAGAACGAATTTGTTCTCCACTCAAGTAAGGCTTATTAGCGTCGATCATAGCTCATAGCCTATTATGCCCATTATTGCAAAAACTACGACTGTCATGAGAACGACTGGCACTAAGTAGAAATATTCTACTGCCATCCAAACCGCGAAGAATGGCCAAAGATGACGTTTATTCAAAGTAGATTTCCTAAGCGAACTCAGCGTCGTACAAATCCTTATTTCCATGTACCATTTCTACATGTTTTTCGTCATATGGTAAACTCCTCGGCTTTCTGCAGACGCCTCTTTTCCGCTTATCACCATCGTCCCGCGTCATGGCAGAGTCCTCATAAGGTGCTCTAGAGAAGAAAAAATATCAGAGTTCACGTCATATTACGAATCGCTGCCACAGCTTAACCTACTCCCGGAAGTCATCGAGACCTCCTTCAGCCTCGGCAAGAACGACGCGGCCGTAGGCGTTACGAAGCATAGCCCGTGCTTTCGCCCCCCAAAAGAAAATGATCGGAACCCGTGGTAGGTCTACAAGAGTTGTTACGTAACAGGGATAGTAACCGCACCTTACGAAGTGCCCGTTACGTACTATATTACGTATATATTAATTATATCCTATATATAGACCTTTTTTTTTTATCTATTTCTATTTTAATAAAATAGGCTACTTTACTATACTCCGTATACCTATTACTATATATTATAACTCGTAATAATTATAAGCCCAGCTTTTAATTAAGACCCTATACTACGATAACGTACTTATTAATACGATTCCTATAATCTTTTTAAAATAACCGACGTCTTTATATCTACTTTTAGTTAGGCTAAATTAACTAGCTACGATAATTAAATTAAATAGTTCTAAGCCTTTTGCTTTATAAATAAGGGCCTCGAGGTTTAAAAATATATTAACCTAGACGCTCTAGACTTTAACGTACTCTTTACTCTTTTTATAGCGTTCGCTTTATTTTTTAACTTCGAGCTATTATTTTTAATTTAAAATAAAAAAGAATAATAAGCCTATGAAGTACTCTATAAAGCGTTTAAAAAGGATAAAAGGAATTAAGAAAACCTCTACTAGTAAATTCTAATACTAACTCCTAGTACGACCCTTTTAACTTTTTTAAGTACGAGTAATCTATAGGATCTAGCTAGAACTCTTTTTATAATACTAACTATACTACCGACTTTATATAATTAAATCTATCCTTATACCGTACTTATAAAAAGGATCTATACGCTCGAAAATATTTAAAAAGAATAGGAGCTCTTTATTAAATACTATTAAATTATAGCCCCTAAACGTAATAGTATTAATACGTATATTAAACTCCTCGCTTAGTAGTTAAGAAAATTAATTAATACTACTCTTTATAAATACGTATTTTAGAAAGTAACCGAGAACGGCGTTAAGTTTAGTATATAACGGATCGTTAAACGACTAAAGTAAGAATTAGTACCCTCCGAGGCTATAGTTAGGAGTGCGGTTCGATAAAAGTATAAATAAATCTTTAATAAAGCGAGGACCGGTATTAACCCCTAACGTTAATATAAAGAATAGTAGTCCGTTTATTTCCGAGCTAAGACGTATAATATCCTAGAAATTAATAAAGAGATCGCTATAATTAACTTTTTAAATACGGTTAAGTCTAAACTTAACCCTATATAGGGCTAATATATTTATAATACTTTCCGTAAATTAATAGTATTTAAAATATATACTAGGACCTTCGAAGAGATTATATATACGTTTAGCTTAGTAACCTAGGAAGCGTATACTAAACGCCCCTTAAGTTAAAGAGGGGCTTACTCTACTTTTACTAAACGCTTTAACTCGTTTAAAAACGTAAATAATAAAAGAAAAATTATTTACTTTTATAACCGCGCACACCGCTAACAGCCTTCGGTATACTAAAAGCTAAAATAAATACTTACAAATTATAATATTAATAGGTCGCTAATATAAATACTAAATAGCTATATAAAAAAAGTCCTAGCCGCGGTTAAATTAAGTAAATAAAAATCGCTTTATAATAAGTTTAAAAAAATTAATTAACTAAAAAAGGATAAAACCCCTAAAAAGCCTCGGTAATTAAAAAGATCCTCTAACTAACCTATAGTAAGTTTATTAATAAACTAGGATAACGGCTATATCGTTGCTATATTTATAAAAAGTTAAGAGGTAGAGATAAACGTAATCTTTAGTACCCTTATAAAAAGCGCCTATTTATTATTTTAGAGTACGGTAATAGATAGCTATAGAGTAATATATCTAGTTAATAATAAAAGCCTCTTTAAACCTAAGAGCTATATATTATTAAGCAACGATAACTATATTAAATTAAGAACTACTATACTACTTATTACCGTACGCAGTATACGTATTATAAAGGGCGTTTTAAATAGACTTAAAGGAGAGGGAACGTACGATCTAAAGCTATAGAACGTCGCTTACGTTAAAAGATTCTATATTAATATAGTTTTGGAAACTCTATTAAATAGAAATATACTTTAGTACTACGGTTTAGATTATACTTTATAATAAAGAACGCTCTATAAAAGCATTATTAAAAAGCAGTTTATTTAAAAAAATAACCTAATTTTCCTTAAATATAAGCTCCTCTAATCTTACCCTTTTTATATAGACCTTAAGCGTATTTTATAGAGCTTAGCTAGTATTATATTATTAGTTAGCTATAGAAAATTCCGTTACTCGTATTAACGTACCTATAAAAAGTCTAATAGCGCGCTCCTATAGTACCTTAGAACAGGTTATCTCGGACCTAATACCCTTCGTTAACTCCTATATAAGACTCGTAATATATAGATTAAACCCCTATTATAAGTTAAATATAAAGTATATATAATATCTAAAGCTAAGTTAGTAATCTTAAGAGGACTACCTTTAAAAAGAGCCTTACGGCTATAGTACTGTATATATTAGGATCTTTTCTACTTCGAGCTATTTCTAAACGAGTAATAATATATATTTATAGCCTTAAATAAATATAGCGAGTAGTTTAGGGGGTTCCTTTTAAAAAATAAAATAAAGGGGGAAGTACTATTTGTATTATAAAGCCTCGAGGTAGCGATCCGTTATTAAAAAAGAACTTTAATCTATTTTTTTAAAAGCGATAATAAAACTACCCTCCTTACTATAAATATTAGACGTGTTTATAAAATATAGTATAGTAAACTAGGAATTAAAATAAAGCTTCCGCCTCTATATATAAAAAAACTAGTAAATAACGTAAAGAGAGCAGGTTAATTTGTAATTACTAAAGCTTATAAAATACGCCTTTTTACGAACCTACCTAAAAATCTCTAAAACAAAGCAATATTAGCAGTAATATTTATCTATAATATTACCCTACGAAAAGCTAATAATAAAGATTTGCCCATTATAATAGAAATTAATTAATAAAAGAGATATTAACGTTAATAGTAAATGGGCTATTAAATATAGGATTCCGAACTAGTTAATCCGCATCTTAGTAGTCTCTATATATATAACTACTAAGCATACCCTCTTTACAAAGATCGTAAAAAGGGCATATATTAAAAGGAATATAAAGTACTTCCCCGCGGGCATATAAAATACTTAATTAAATATATATTAAAAACGCACAACCTATACAGGGTTTAAATACCCGCGCTCGAATAAGTATTTATTATAAAGAATATTAAGTTTAATAAAAAAGTCTTTTATAATTCCGTATACGAAGAGCAAGTTATCGTAAGCAAATAAGTAAATCTAGTAATCTAAAAAATATAAAAACTCTTTAATATTAATAATAAATTAATTCGAGTACTCGGGGAAGTAAATCTAGACTTCAGAAATACTAACACTTAAAATAACTCTATAATTAAGGATAGTATTATTATTAAATTTTTAACTATTTAAGACGCTAAGTAACCGATAGACGTATTATAGAGTATAGTTAACGATATTAATAAAGCTAATATAGCCTTACCGGCATTACTAACCCCTAAAATAACCCCCTTATACAAGCTCGGGGGTAGGGATAAAGAAGGGGATATAATAACTAGGTTATAAACGGCTCTATATAATCTATAATCCTCCCCGCGAGCGCTTATATATACTATAAAAGTTCTTAAGCCTTTAATTCTTAATAGCTCTTAGTAAAAAACTAGAGTACGTAGTAAACGAAGTACCGATTATAAGAATATAATTCCTAATACTAAAGTCGACGTTAATAAAGAACCCTTATAATAAACCTCTACTACTATACAAAAATAGAGCTTATAAAAACCGCCTTAGCGAGTACTAAATAAAGCTCTATTAAGTCCTAGACGCTCAAACCGGGCCTGTAAACCTCTATAACGCTTTAATAGCAATATCTTCGTAACGCTTTTATATTTAAATATAAAAGATAGCGATTACTATAACCGCTACTAAAACTACTTTTTTTTTACTTTTATACTTAATTAGTAAAAAGCTATAAAAAAAAGTAATATAGGATATATAATACTTTATTAAATAATAAAAGGGGTAGTTTATAGGACTTATTTAGAGCGCCCCGGTATAGGTTAAAAACTACGGCCTAATAAAGTTAACTTTTTAAGCCTACTAAAGAAGTTTAGTAATATTAAACACCTCCTATAGTAACTATAAAAACTATTCTAGGATATTATAAATATAGAAATAAAAAAGCTAAAGGATATTAATATATAAAAAAAGGTCGACCGTAATCCTAAATAAAGGATCTCACTTCTATTAAAATAAATATATACTTATAAATACGACGTTAATAATAAGGTTTACGAAGTAAAAGTATATATATATATAAAGGGGGATATATAACTACTCGACCCTTTATAAAATACGTACGCTTTAACGCTTACTATAAAGGCCTTTAGGCTTATAATAATAATAGCTATTTAATTTAATTTTAAAACTAATTAGTATAACGCCATTAATGTATTCTTTAACGTACCTATTAAAAA